GCCCTACGCACCCACTCCTGTTTTAGGGCTGGGCCTGACCCCCTCCAGAAAAGTAAGTCTCAGACTTCACGGCAGTTCTCAGAAAGTCCCAGCGAAGCCAGTGGGAGCCCTTGAGAGGGCGTGTCTGCCAGCCACAGCCGGTCTCGCTGTCCAGGCACTGCCCCGGAGCAGCCCTGGAGGCTGGCCTCGGTGCTAAGGGCACAGCTGTCCCCTCAGTCACATCAGAGAGACACATTCCCATGGCTATCGTAAGGGCACTGCCTTTTTTTTTTTTATCGTGGCAATTAAAAATATATATATATTTTATTAATTTTTTACAGAAAGGAAGGGGGAGGGATAGAGAGTTAGAAACATCTGTGAGAGAGAGACATCAATCAGCTGCCTCCTGCATACTCCTTACTGGGGATGTGCCCGCAACCAAGGTGCATGCCTTGACTAGAATCAAACCTGGGACCCTTCAGTCTGACGCTCTGTCCACTGAGCTAAACCGGTCAGGGCTGCAGCGGCATCTTAAAGTGACATCTCCCTAATGACTAATGATGTTGAGCATACTGGTATTTTCATGTGCTTATTAGTCATTTATATATTCTGGTTTCAAAGACTTTCTCCCATGGCATGGGTTGTCTTTTCACTTTCTTGGTGGTATCCTTTGTGGCGCAAACGTTTTTCATTTCAGTGGAAAGTCCAATTTATCTGTTTTGCTGCTGCTGCTGCTGCTTGTACTTGGTGTTGTACACAAGAGACCATCTTCTAACCCAAGGCCACAAAGATGTGCTTTTCTTCTCGGAGTTTTATCATTTTAGCTTTTACATGTAGGTCTGTGATCCACTTTAACTTTTGTATATATAAATTTATACTTTAGCATGTGTGCATTCAGTTGTCCCCTCACAATTTGCTAAAAAGGTGATTCTTATTGAATTCCCTTGCCGCTCTTGCCAAGAAGCAATTGGCCGTGAACGTGAGCGTTTATTTCTGGACTCTCAGTTCCACTCCGTTGATGGATACGTCTATCCTTGTGCCAGTACCATCCTTCCTTAGTTCCTGTAGCTTTTATAGCAAATGATTTTTTTTTTTTTTTAGAGGCATTGACCTGTTAAATATGTGTCTGCTGAGTCTCTTTTAATATACAGTGCCCCAGGTTTTTCCTCCCTTGTTTTTTATTTGTTGAAGAAACAGGGTCATTTGTTTTATGGCAGTTCCATCCGTCTGAATCTGCGGGAACGGTTTCTTTTAGGACATTTTCATCAGGCCAAAAAGAGGCCCCGGGGCCATTATCAGACATTCCTCATTCCCTGACTGCATCTCTGCCGAGTCATTCAACGTGTTCTCCTGACCCCAGAGGCCTTATTTGATGTAGATTTAATTTTAGCTCAAGGATAACATGCAGGTGGTGTGTTTCCAGAGTCAGAACTTAAGAGTTGAGCCCTCGCCGGTTTGGCTCAGTGGATAGAGCATCGGCCTGCAGACTGAAGGGTCATATGTTCGATTCCAGCCAAGGGCACATGCCTAGGTTGCAGGCTCCATCCCCAGTAGGGGGCGTGCAGGAGGCAGCCAATCAATGATTCTCTCTCATCATTGATGTTTCTCTCCTCTCTCCCGCCCCCTTCCTCTCTGAAATCAATAAAAATATATTTAGAAAAAGAAAAATGGAACAGAGAGTTGACTCTGTGATGTGAGGAGCTATTCATGATCTTCACTTGGATGGTCCCCTCCGCCCCCATTTGAGGTGATTTACAGTTTGAAAGGGTCACCCTGGTTGCTGGGGTGTGAAGGTGTCCCTGGTGGTTTTGAGGGCTGATAACCCTACGACAGAGCACGAATCGCTATGCCTGCTGCATGGTGGCCACTCATAAATACTAGCCCTTATTGTTATTGTTATTAGCGCTGTGTGTGTGAGGCCCCAGTCCTGGGCCAGGGTGCTCCACCCCCTCTCCTCTGCCCCTGGAGGAGAAGCCGGCAGTGCCCCGTGGCTCTGGGAGGCATGTTCAGAGGCTCGGCAGCCATCTCTGTGCGCCTGGTGGGGTCCCTCCAGAGAAAGAAGGCCGGAGCTTCCCTCCGCCGGTGCCTGCACCAGACTGTAAGTGCCCTCTGCTGCCTGCGTGACCCAGGGTCCCTGGGATCTGGCTTGGTGCTGGCTTCAAACCCACGCGCGAGCCTCCTCCTTCAGGAAGCCTTCCCTGACTGCTCCCTGAATGCGGGTCCCTCCCTTGCCTTTGCTTCCAATCTAGAACGTATAGCTCTGCATCGGAATGGTTGCTTTGGGCTGCTGCCTCCCCATCCCCCGCTGTACCCAGCCCATGTTGGGTACACAGTTGGTGCTCAGTAAATGCTCAATTATGTGTAAGCCTGAGAATGGGCACTACTGCCTCATGGTCCAAGTGCTGTGTGGCATACTTGAAGGTCACTCCTCTGAGCACCCCAAGTTTTGCAGTCCCCCATTATTTTTATCTCCTTCCTAAAAATGCATTCACCTCCTTTTTCTCTCTGTGCCCCTGCACCCTTCTATTCTTCCCCACCCAACCCTCCTCCAACTTCCCCCACTCCAACTTTTATGCCCCTCTCCTCCCCACACTGCTCCTGACTCCTCTTTGCTTTTTAAAAATTTAAATAAATAGGATGCATCCCTAATTCAAAAGTTATTTGTTGCATCTGTGTATCCAGGATGCCACCACGGAACTTGGTGCCATCTTCCTATGAAAAACTGGGAGGCAGAAAAGCAGGCACGTGGAATTAAGTCACCTGTGATTTGCATGTGGAAGTATGTCTGCTCCTCATTCCTTTGGGAGCAGGAATACCTCCATAACATGCTACATGAAAGGAGTTCTCAGGGCTGCCAGCCTTACAGGCGAGGTTGGGTAGTAGTATATTTCTCCGACATAAAAGAAAAATTTTTTTTTTAATAAATCACCTGTTTTGTTGCCACTCGTATAGAACCTCTGTTAACATTTTTATATATTTACTTCCAAACTTTTTTCCACTCCTAAAGGGTCATAGAAAAAAAATGTATGTCTATACACATATATGCTAGGGTATGTCTTTTGTTTTTTTATAAAACATCATCTTATTTTGTAGCCTGTTTTACTGACATCAGCATGTCACATTGATAAATATTCTCCTAAAATGTAATTTTCTTCCACATTTTTTAGTCATAGAAAAAAAAATTTATTTTGGAAAATGAGGCCCTGGCTCCCCTGAGTAGTTCAGTTGGTTAGAGCATCATCCCGACATGCCAAGGTTGCGGGTTCGATCCCCAGCGAAGGGCACATATAAGAATCAACCATCAAAAAATATATACCACTGTACCAATGTATTGTGTACATAATACACATTCCCTTGAGGTTTTAAAAGGCTCGGATAAACAATAAATGTAATCAGAAATTCCAATGTAAAAAAAAAAAAAAAAAAAAAAAAAGAATGGAAGTCAGTATGGCAGTAATACCTTGGAATAAAAAAGTTCACACACATCTAAGGACAATTCTAAAAAAAAAAAAAAAAAAAAAAAAAAAAAAAAAAAAAAAAAAAAGAATCAACCAATGCCCAGCCAGCGTGGCTCAGTGGTTGAGCGTCAACCTATGAACCAGGAAGGAGGTCAGGGTTTGATTCCCGGTCAGGGCTCGATCCCCAGTAGGGAGTGTGCAGAAGCAGCTGATCAATGTTCTCTCTCATCAGTGATGTTTTTATCTCCCGCTCCCTCTTCCTTCAAGGCTCTCTGAAGTCAATAAAAATATATTTTAAAAATTAATCAGCCAATGAATGCATAAATAAGTGGAACAACAAATTGATCGATATTTCTCTCTCTTCCCCTGTTTTCTCTCTCTCTCTTTCTAAAATCAATCAATATATAAAAATGTAAGCTATTTTGACATGTACTGAGCGCAGGCCTGGTGATGGGTGTCACGGACTTAGTGAAGGGAGGGTGCCAGTGTCATCAAAGCACCCACTAGGTGCCATCTCTGCTGGGCTCTTTGAATCGCTCACACTGGCAGGACTCTCGGGCTATGGAGAAACCTGGCCCATACGCAGATGGTCCCCGGGCCAGGGGCCTGGTGCCTGCAGCCCTGCTGTTGCTGCTGCCCCGACCAGGGTCCGGTCCGGCTCCTCCTCTGACCTTGGGCAGGTCCCGGAACCTCTGAGCCCCATGTCTGCACCTTCAGATGGAGGGTCTCAGGGCCCCTCTGATGGGGACGCAGTAGGGACAGCGCCAGACCAGGAGAAACGGGAAGGGCTCCCTGTTGGCACTGCAGGTGGCAGAGGAGAGCATGAGAGACCTGGCTCTGCTCCCGGCCAGCCGGAGACACAAACTGCTGAGGGGCCACGAAGCCCACGCTCCCATGATGCCGATGGGGCGACTGAGGCCAGGAGGAGCTGGCACCTGTGGATGAGGAGGAAGCTGCCCCGGAAGGGGTACAGGGAAAGGAGGGGGTGCCTGGAGAAGGGCGGCTGAGCCCCCCAGAACTGAGCGAGTTCACCTGAGTCAGAACATGGCCTCATCGCAAACAGGCCTGCGTCTGAGTGCATTTGTTGTGGGACCTTGAACACCTCACTCCCCACCTACAGCGTGCCCAGCCAGATGGTTCTGAGAAGTGCATGGAGAGCCGCTGTCACTGCTGCCGTGATCCTCCCCTGCTCTCCCCTCCCCTGCCTCCTGCTCCTCCGCCTCAGCCCCCAGCCTGGCCTCAGTCAAACTTGTTATCCAGGCTGTGGGGCGGGGGGCAAGTCCAGCCGGCTGAGCCTGGTGACATGGGGAGGAGCCAGGCACCAAGAGACGGGAGGCGCAAATGGGGGTGGCGGAGGGCACAGGTGGGTAGGCGGAGGGCACAGGTGGGTAGGCTGGGTAGGCGGCTGGGCCCCGCTGGGAGTGCTGATCCCCGCCTCCTCCTCGGGAGTGGGTGGGTGGGTGGGCAGCGTGGAAGGTGGTGGCTCGGAATGCCTTTCTGTCCTCGACAGAGTGCAGTGCCTCCTCCACTCTGACCTTCCGTTTGCTCTGTTCCCAGCTCCCCATGGCCAAAAGGCTGCACGCGCGAAGGCTGGATGGGATTGACCACAACCCGTGGTGAGTGTGCAGGCGCGGGGCGCCGTGTGGTGTCCCTTGGTCGGTCGTGGGGACCGGACAGGGCTGGAGGTCCCAGGCCCTAGGTCTGCAGAAACTCAGTGGTGCCAGGACAGTCAGATCTGCAGCCACAGCCCATGAGGGGCGAGACCTGAAGCAGAGGCTTGGGTTCCAAACTCAGCTGCACCCCGCTTGGCACTGGCACTGGGACCTGTGCCACCTGCCCGGACCCCCAGCTTTTCAGCTGCAGAAGGGAGATAATTTTATTTCCCTCGAACGGCCTTGGGAGGTTAAGACAAAATGCTGTGTGAGAGCAGTAGGCTACCCAGGCTCAGGGTAGGGCTTGTTAGGGACTGTTTTATGTCACACGTAGTGCGGAGGGAGTCACGCTAGGAAGGTAAGATGCGGGCGCTATTCACTGGCCGTAAACTGAGATTAGGCCCCTTTCTTCACCCGCTTGTCCTAAATCTGGGAGGACCCGTGCCCATGGTTACTGGTGACGGACGGATGCAGTGGGAGGGCCTGTGGGGAGGAGTTCCTGATCTTCCGGCCCACACCGACCTGGACCTGGGCCACAGAGAGCCCTCTGTTCCTTAAGAAGATGTTGGCTGTTGTCTTTACACAACACGGGAAGATTATTTCTTTCAAACTGCCCCCGGCTGCAGAACTTGGTGTTTTGTGAAGATCTTCCTCCTCCATCTTCTCCTTCGATGCTCCGTGGTGTTTGGGATGAGGGAGCCAGGCCCACAGTCCCTGTAAAGTCTGGCTGGTCCTCAAACTGCCCCTCCGTCCTCTGTGCAGCAGGCTAGGCGGCCACCTTCAGCCACTCATTTTCTCAGTGTCCTCCTTACAAACTCTCCAAGTGAGTCAGCGCTTCCCCCCACTACACATAATGATAGTTATTGTCATTTAAATGATCTCAGCCAAGTCTGACTGCTCTGCCCCCAGCCAGCCTCCTTCGGTCTCTCCGCCTCTCCCCCAGCTCCCTGAAGAGGCGGCCACCAGGCAGGCCCAGGAGAAAGGTCGTTGAGGGCAGACGGTGGGCTGGTGGGGCGCCCGTGTGTCCAGGGTAAGAACGCAGAGCGTCAGCTTCGCTCCAGACAGATGGGGGGTCACGCTGGCTGTGCCGTGGACACTCAGGACAGGTCCCTCCAAACTTCAGCTTCTCCATCCCCGCTGTGACCCAGAAACAGGACGGGCCTCCTGCACATCGGGGAGGTGACAGGAGCAAGCGTTTCACACTGGTGTTGACAAATGCACCAATGGGTCATGAAGTCCATTGGGAGGGGTTCCACAAGAAGTGTTTCTAAAGAATTGAGTGGGCTGGGCTGGGCTAGGAGCTAGATCACACCAGAAGCAGAATGTAATTCCAGGAGGGTTTGTGATATAAAGATGACTTCTTACTATGGATCACGGTCTGGAAGTTTGCAAGCCCCTGGGCTGAGACATGGGATGGGCACAGTGCCCGGTCCTCCTAACGGAAGAGCATGTTACCAGCGATGTACCTGGCACTGGTCGCCAGGGTGAACGCTAGCTGTCCAGTTTCTCTACAGCGAGCCCAGTGCTTGCTCACCCTGCCTTGGAAACAGGCGGAAGTCCAGGTTGGGGTGCAGGGACGGGCTGGTGCCGACTCTCCATTTGTTGCCCAGGGTGGAGTTCACCAAATTGGCCAGCGAGTGTGATGCTGTGAACTTGGGACAAGGCTTCCCCGACTTCCCGCCTCCGGACTTCGCCGTGGAAGCCTTTCAGCACGCCGTCAGCGGGGACTTCATGCTCAACCAGTACACGAAGGCATTTGTGAGTCTTCCGGTCCCTCCCGGGCCCGTGGACACAGGCTTCTGATGGGCCCTGGGGAAGGAGGGGGAGGAGCCCAGATACTCAGTCCAGCCATAGCTCAGTGTCCACTGAGGACATCCTGTGTTTCAGCCTCTGGCTGGGACAGCTCATGGTCTGGGAAAAGGCAGACAAACACACACAAAAAAACAACCGGTCGAAACTGGTTTGGCTCAGTGGATAGAGCATCTGTGGACTGAAAGGTCCCAGGTTCAATTCTGGTCAAGGGCATGTACATTGGTTGAGGGCACATCCCCGGTAGGGGTGTGCAGGAGGCAGCTGGTCAATGATTCTCTCTCATCAATGTTTCTAGCTCTCTATCCCTCTCCCTTCCTCTCTGTGAAAAATCAATACGACCCAGGCTTCCTCTCCCAATGGGATCCTTCCAAAGCTGGGCATAAAGCCCTGTTCCTGCACTCCGTCTGCGGTGACCTTGGGCAAACCCTTTCCTTCTTCTGAATCTCTATTTTTCTACTGGCCAGATGGTGGGAATCAAATCATGCCTTTCTTGCCCTAGCCAGTTTTGCTCAGTGGATAGAGTGTCGGCCTGTGGACTGAAGGGTCCTGGGTTCGATTCCAGACAAGGGCACATGCCCGGGTTGTGGGCTCGATTCCCAGCAGGGGGCGTGCAGGAGGCAGCCGATCAATGATTCTTTCTCATCATTGATATTTCTATTTCTCCATCCCTTCCTCTCTGACATCAATAACAAATGCCTTTCTTGCAAGGTCGCTGGGAGGACCAGAGGGCACGAATGTGCGCCTTGAACTTAACAGGAGGTGCTCTGGGTGTCGAGCTGCCGCTGCTTTGGCGGCTGTATAGGGCTGTGCTCCTTGGAGGCACACCCTCTGGTTCCCCACCACATCCCTGCCCTGGCACCGGGCTGGCACAGAGCAGGCCGTGTGGCAGGTGTTACAGGGGGAAATTTAAGGACTCAGGCTGACTTTGCCCCAGGCCTGCCCCTGAAGATGCTCCAATAGCCGGGCTGCAGCTGAGCTGGTGGGTGGGCCGAGGCTGAGCCAGGCACTGACCCCTCTGTCCCGGCAGGGCTACCCACCCCTGACGAAGATCCTGGCAAGTTTCTTCGGGAAGCTGCTGGGGCAGGACATAGACCCTCTAAAGAACGTACTGGTGACGGTGGGCGCCTACGGGGCCCTGTTCTCGGCCTTCCAGGCCCTGGTGGACGAAGGAGATGAGGTGAGAGGGGCGGGGCTGGGGCCTGGTAGGGGCCAGGGGTCAGGGCGATACTGACCTCAGCTGATCTGACCCTTGTACCAGGTCATCATCATCGAGCCTTTTTTTGACTGTTACGAGCCCATGACATTGATGGCAGGGGGCTGCCCTGTGTTTGTGCCCCTGAAGCCGGTGAGAATGCTGGATGGGGTGTAGGTGGGCAGAGGAGCCCAAGGAGTGTGCTGCGTTGGACCCTAGGGGTTGGGAAGGGAGGGAGGGAGGAAGGGAGGGAGAGAAGGAGGGAAGGAGGAAGGGAGGAAGCTGTTTCTCCAGGATGGGGAGAGGGTGGGGACAGTGGCAGGGGAAGAGAGTCAGATCCTTAGCTATGACTGTCAGGGAAGTAAGTATGGCCCGCCCTCTTGCAGACCCCCATCCGGGATGGGGAACTGGATTCCAGCAGCAACTGGCAGCTGGACCCCACGGAGCTGGCCAGCAAGTTCACACCTCGCACCAAAGCCCTCGTCCTCAACACACCCAACAACCCCCTGGGGAAGGTACGGAGCCCTCCTTCCGGGGACCCTGTGCGCTGGGTTCAAGCCCACACTCTTACCGACCTGCCGCCTTGGGCTCGGGTTCTTCCTCTGGAGCGGGGCGGCTGTGCGAGCGGTGAGGCTGGGGCTCCCGCAGGCCCCGGGGAAGTACGAGGGCTGACGGCGGAGCGGGCTGGGCGCCTCCATACCTCCTGCCCCACGGCCCGGAGACAGTGGCCTCGCCTCTCGGAGTGTTTTCTCATCTGTGAAATGGGAACATGACCAAACCGATGTGAGGGAAAACCCAGCCTTCCTCCTGGGTGTCTCCCACACTTGCGCACTCACACTTCTGACACCAGGTGTGTGGGTTCCCCCACGCCCAGCAATCCTGCACCACCTGCTTGGTGTCCTACAGTTTCACTCAGTTCAGCTCTGACCCTGTCTTCCCGGAGAGAGCATCCGTCCCACAGGCGAAGGGCCCAGCCCCCGAGACGGCCCCACGCCACCTCAGGTGCCAGTCCCCAAGTCCAGATCGCCACCTGTGCTCCTGACCAGCTATGAGTCTGAGCTTCCCATGACCCCCTCCTTGGGTTCCATTAACTTGCTAGGGCAGCTCCCAGAACTCCGGGAAACTGGTTATCAGCGCATTAAAGAACGTGGTAAAGGACGCAGGTGAAGAGAGAGAGACGGTGAGGTCTGGGAGGGCCTCAGGCACGGAGCTTCTGTCCCCGGGGAGGAGGGGGCATCACCCTCTCTGAGCCCACATGATTGTGTGATGGAGACTTCCCATGTAGGCACAACCACCGAGTCCCTCCATGCCCAGCCCCTCCCCCTCTCAGAAAAGCGGGGCTGAAACCAGGCTTCTCCTCCGGCGTGGTCTTTCCGGGACCGCCGCCCAGGGCCCCACTCAGAGCTGCCTCATTAGAACAAAGGGTGTGCCCGGCGCTCCTGTCACGTAGGCACTTGCAAGGGTTTCTGGGGCTCTGTGCCAGGAACCAGGGGCAGAGACCAAACTTTTATTTTTTTAATATTTTTTTTATTGATATCAGAGAGGAAGGGAGAGAGATAGAAAGAAACATCAATGATGAGAGAATAATAGACCAGCCGCCTCCTGCATTTCTTCTACTGGGGTTCGAGCCTGCAACCCAATCATGTGCCCTTGACCAGAATCAAACCTGGGGCCCTTCAGTCCCCAGGCTGACGCTCTATCCACTGAGCCATACCGGCTTGGGCTGTATTTTTCTATTATCCAACAGGGTCAGTGCCGTGGGGATTCATGGTGCGGGGCAGAAAGGCTCTGGGTTTGGGTGGGCCCTTCCCCTCTCTGAGCGGGCCTCTGTGTTTGGGGACGGCCCACAGGTGTTCTCCAAGGCGGAACTGGAGCTGATAGCCCGCCTGTGCCAGCAGCATGACGTGTTGTGCATCACGGACGAGGTCTACCAGTGGCTGGTCTTCGATGAGCACCAGCACACCAGCATTGGTGAGAAGCTGGCCAGGATGCCCCCATACCCCTGGCCCAAATGGCCAGGGCAGTGAGCCCAGTCTGGGAGCCAGCAGCAGGCCTAAGGGTCTGGAGGCTCCCGGACCATGTGACCAGAGGCAGTGACTTACCCCCTCTGAGAACCGGGGGTGCCATGGCACCCAGCCCGGGCTGTCATGAGGATACCCTGGGATAAGCCCCGTAAATAGCACGACCGGAGCTCTGAGAGCCGAGAGCCGGAGGGCCCACTGGGGTCCGGCCACCACCCCTCCCTGCCCCCGGCGCCCTCTCAGCTGTTCTCTTTGGCCTTGGGCAGCCAGCCTCCCCGGCATGTGGGAACGCACTCTGACCATTGGCAGCGCCGGCAAGACCTTCAGCGCCACCGGCTGGAAGGTGAGTGGACAAGGTGAGGGTTACCCTGCCCGCTGTGGCCCCGGCGGGAAAGGTGGCCTGGGAAGTGAGGATGGCTTTGGCCAGGCCCTGAGGCCTCACCCCCACCTGTGTTTGCGGTCTAGGTGGGCTGGGTCCTGGGCCCCGAGAGGCTCATGAAGCACCTGAACACGGTGCATCAGAACTCCATCTACCACTGTCCCACGCAGGCCCAGGTGAGGCCAGGGGACCGCACCCGGGGGGCGGGGGGGGGGGGAGGGCCCAGGCTGGCTCCAGGCCAGGTCAGTCTGACCGGCTTGTGCATCCCTCTCCCTCCCCCTCCCACGTCCCCCCCAAACCCCCACCCCCGCAGGCCGCAGTGGCCGAGAGCCTGGAGCGGGAGCAGCTGCACTTTGGCCAGCCCAGCAGCTACTTCGTGCAGCTGCCGCGGGCCATGCAGCTCAACCGCGACCACATGGTGCGCAGTGTGCAGGCCGTGGGCCTGAGGCCCGTGATCCCCCAGGGCGGCTACTTCTTCGTCACGGACATCTCGGACTTCAGTGAGGAGGGGCCGGGCCGGGCAGGGTGTGGGGGGCTGGAGGCATGGCCTCTGGGGGGCTCAGCATGGCCTCTGTCCCCCAGAGAGCAAGATGCCTGACCTGCCCGGGGCTGCGGGCGAGCCCTACGACAGACGCTTCGTCAAGTGGATGATCAAGAACAAGGTGGGCGGGGCCTCCGCCGGGCTCCCCCAAGCCCGGCCTCTGCGTGGGCCCTGGTACAGGACCGTGTCTGTGTCCAGGGTAGCGAGCCTGTCTCATTTGTACGAAGGTGGCAGGAGGGTTGGCAGAATGAGTTCCGGCCTCCCAGGGCCTCGGTCCTGCCACCTGTACAGTGAGGAGTTGGCCCATTCACTGTGGTCACCCAGCTCAGAGCTAGGATTCTCAGGCTGGTTTCCTCTCTGGCTCTGCCCTGGCCCCTCTCTCGGCCTCCACGTCCTCTCTACACACAGGGGGGACGTGGGACGTTCTGGGATTCTTTCCCTGTGACCTTGCCATTGCACGAGGTGCGCATGGGCGCGAACACTATCCCCCCCACCCACGCCATGAAACCTCTCTGCCTCCCGAGAGCCGGGCTGCTGGGCTGGGAGGCCCTGCTGAGACCCGGGCTTCCTCCCCCCAGGGCTTGGTGGCCATCCCCGTGTCCATCTTCTACAGCGCGCCCCAGCAGAAGCACTTCGACCACTACATCCGCTTCTGCTTTATGAAGGTAAAAGGAGGGCTGCGGGGGTGGGGAGGGGGGGGAGGCTTCCCCACGCTCCTCCCCAAGGCCCCCGGGGGTCTGGGAGGAGTAGGACCCGTCTGTGTTGGCGCAGGATGAATCCACGCTCCGGGCCATGGACAAGAAGCTGCAGGAGTGGAAGGATGAGCTCGGGGCCTGACGGCGCCCCTCGGCCCTGCCTCACCGCCTTGGTCCCTGCGTGCTCTGCAGGGCCGTGGCCGGGAGTTGGTCATTCCCTCGCTGGGGTAGATGGCACTGGTGAACCCCTTTTCTGTGACTCAGGGACGAATCCTCCTTCTTAGTCTTGGGGGAGTTGGTAGCAACTCCCCATGGTGCCTACAGTCCTGCTGCGGAGGGAGGGAAGGCCTGGCCTGGGTTCCTTCCGCATTTACATCACCAGGTCTTGGGTCCCTTCTGGCCTCTGAGCCTTGGCTGGGACGCCATGGGCAGAGTCCAACAGGGGACTGGCCTCGAGTCCCAACTCTGACCCCAGCGAAGGCTCAGGCAGCCCTCCTTTTCCTTATCTAAGCTTGACTTTGGGAAACTGTCTGTACAGTACTTTTTCTCAGAATAAAATGTTAAGTTATTCAAACCCTAACTGGCTTTCCTCTGCTTCACCCTGGTGCCGGTGGCTGGTGGGGATTTGGTGAGGGTGGAAGGCATCTCAGACCCTACACTTCTCTGTACAGATGTATTTTGTGGAGTAAAACCGAGTCCCAGGGCAGAGCGGGGACATGGGACTTGTCTGAAGTCAGTTAATGTTAAAACCAGGCCTAGAAGCCAGGGCTCGGTGGGTATGTGTTCCGGGTCCTGGGTGTGGGTGTGGGTATGTGTGTGTGTGGGTGAGTGTGGCTGTGTGTGTGGGTGTGAGTGTGAATGTGGGTGTGGGTGTGAATGTGAATGTGGGTGTGGGTATGGGTGTGAGTGTGGATGTGGGTGTGAGTGTGTGTGGGTGTGGATGTGTGTGTGGGGGTGTGAGTGTGGGAGTGTGGATGTGGGTGTGGGTGTGGGTGTGTGTGGGGGGTGTTGGGGTGTGTGTGTGTGTGTGTGTGTGTGTGTGTGTGTGGATGTGTGTGTGTGGGTGTGGGTGTGAATGTGGGTGTGGGTATGGGTGTGAGTGTGAGTGTGGGTGTGTGTGTGGGTGTGGGTGTGGGTGTGTTTAGGAGATAGGAGCCTCATTTGAGTGTCTGACAGGGAAGACCAGACAGTCCCATCCCCCAGGGGTCAGAGGACTCAGAGTGCAGGACAGGAGGGCAGGGCTTACCTAGACAGAGGAGAGGGAAGTAGAGTTTATTGTGTGCCCTCGAGTGCCAGCCACTTGGTGCCCATCATTTCATTAAGCAATTCCCTGAGACAGGAATCACTTCTCCATTTTACAAGTGAGGAAACCACTCTGGAGGTGAGATGACTCGTCCAAGACCTCCAGCTGGCAAAGGGAGAGTGGGATCAGACCCTGGGGGCGGGCACCCGAATGGGAAACAATGACAGCACCTGCATTCATTCGGAAGGAGGAGCCAGAGACTTCTCTTGAAGTTGGATTTGCAGAGCATGCCCATGGGTTTTGCTTATGTAGTTAATTGGGGAGCTGCTGGGCATATACAGTATAGTAACATATATTGGGTCTGTGTCACTGGTTCCTGGCAGGGAGCTAAAACCCTTGGAATTTCCCGAGTGATAGGAGAGTCTTCTGTTATTCCTAACAAGTCCACCTGACCATGTGATTAGAGGCCAGAACTGCCAGCACCAAAGAAAGGCACTGGACACTGAGTCCAGCCACATGGCCAATGGTTTAATTGATCATGCATCTGTATAAAGACCCATACGAAAACCCTGAATCTAGGAGTCAAAGGAGCCTCTGGGGTGAGCACATCAATGTCCTGGGAGGTGGGTGCATCCAGAGAGGCATGGAAGCTTTGTACCAGCCCCCAAGTCCTTATTCTGCTACCCGTCCAAGTCTATGCGCCCAACCTCCAAAAATGCACAATCTCCAAAATGCACAATCTCCAAAATGCTTCATCGTCTGGAGGGAGGAAAGGCTTATTGACTGAAGGTGCCAACTGGGAAGATGGGGGCCCTAGCAGGACCTCAAATCCATCTTAAGAAAATACAGAGTTCTTGCCGGGACCGGTTTGGCTCAATGGATAAAGCGTTGGCTTGGGGACTGAAAGGTCCCGGGTTCGATTCCGGTCAAGGGCATGTACCTTGGTTGCGGGCATATCCCCGGTAGGGGGTGTGCAAGAGGCGGCTGATCGATGACTCTCTTTCATCGATGTTTCTAACTCTCTATCTCTCTCCCTTCCTCTCTGTACAAAATCAATAAAATATATTTTAAAAAAAAAGAAAAAAAAAAAAAGAAAATACAGAGTTCAGGCTTCTTGCCTGGCCCGCATAGCCCAGTGGCTCGTGGTTTGATTCCCAGTCAGGACATATGCCTGGGTTGTGGGCTCCATCCCCAGTGTGGGATGTGCAGCAGGCAGCCCATCAATGATTCTCCCTCATGATTGTGTTGTGGGGTCGAACCCTGCATTCAAAATAAGACCACCGAGGCTGATGATGGATTAAAAAAAAAAAAAAAAAAAAAGCAGGCAAGGATTTATTGAAAAACTGGCCAGGACTATCATGAAAGCACCACACGCAGGTGGCCACACTCACGACCACGCCGTTCCAGGTGTAGGCAGTCTTTAAAGGCCCAAACCACAAGAATTTTCCTTTGTTCTAAATTCTAAAGGCTGGGAACAGCCCGCAGGGTCATTCCCAGTCACATCCTGCTAGACACTGGAATGTGGCCCTATCTTGCGATAGCCGATAATACAGAAGCAGAGCTCAGCGGTTAATCTCTAAAGGTTATCTACAGTTCCTACCCCTGAAGCTACTGAGTCAGTGGGAATCAATCTCCTGCGGTTCTGGTCACAGGCAAGGGAAAATTGCCTCCAGGTCTCCACCTGGAAGCTGAGATAACTACCCTAAGTTTAAGCAAATAAGCGGATGCTGCCGAAGCCAGAATGGCAGCGTTAAAATTCAAACAGCAGTTTTTACCCAAGTATGGTTGCTACCATATTTCAATGGATGTTTCTCTCCCTCTCCCTTCCTCTCTGAAACCCATAAAAATATTTTGAAAGTAAATAAAGTCTGGCCCTAGAGCGCATATCTATCCACTGAAAGGTTCGATTCTGGTAGATGGATATTTTTCTCTGTCTCTCCCCCTCCCTTCCGCTGTCTCTAAAAATCAGTGGGAAGCGGAAACCGGTTTGGTTCAATGGATAGAGCGTCGGCTTGGGGACTGAAAGGTCCGGGGTTCGATTCCCGTCAAGGGCATGTACCTTGGTTGCGGGCATATCCCCAGTAGGGGGTGTACAAGAGGCAGCTGATTGATGACTCTCTCTCATCGATATTTCTAACTCTATTTCTCTCCCTTCCTCTCTGTACAAAGTCAATAAAATATATTTTTTTAAATCAATGGGAAAATACCCTCAGGTGAGGATTAACATACATACACACAAAACGTCTCAATTAAAAGAGGAAATGAACGAACCTTGTAAGGACTGGGTTAAACGGTCTGCAAGGACATTTCCAGCTCCGAATCGCCTCCCGTGTGGGGCCTCGGGTCCCCATGGGTAACCCGAGGCTGAGGTTTGAGCGTCGCGCTCCGCACCGACCCGCCTCCGGCCGCGCCAACCACTGCGCAGGCGCCCCAGCCGCGGGCACAGCCCCGCCCACGCTATCTGCCCAGGCCACGCCCCCGCGCGCCGCCGCCTCTCTGATTGGGCGGCTCGGAGGAGGGGAGTCTGATTGGCAGGACGTGGCCGAAGGTGCGCGTCGGCCATGGCGGAGCGCGGGAGGAAGCGGCCCTGCGGCCCGGTAGGTGCGGGAGGTAGGGCTCCGGGCAGGACTGGGTCTGGGGCGTGAGAAGGAGCCGCGTGGGGCCGCGTGGCGGGGCCGGGCCGTGCCTCCCGCTCCCTCCTCGTTGCCGATCTGAGGCCGGAAGCCCCGAGGTGTGGGATGCTGGTGGCCGAGCGCGTGCGGGAGGTGGGAGCCGGGGTCTGAGCCGCAGCCGGGGCAGCGTCAGGTGCGGCCCCTGGAGGCTGCTCTGGCCTGGCACCCTGCGCGCCATCCCGACCCCTTTTTGGCCTGTCTCTTCTGACTCCCAGGACCTGTTCCCCTGAACCTGTTTCCTTTTCTCTCCAGCGGGAACTTATTCAAAAAATTTTTTTAAAATGTTATTGATGGATTTGAGAGAGAGAGAGAGAGGTGGATGCATGCATTGGCTGATTCTTGTACGTATACCCTGATCGAACCTGCAACCTTGGTGTATCCCGACAAGGCTCTCACCAATTGAGCTCCTCGGTCCTCGTTCAGCAGTTTATTAAGAGCTTACTCTGTGCCAGGCCTGGTCCCAGGCCCTGGGGTACAACAAGTGGGACCCCTCCCAAAGGGACCAGTTACCCTCACTCCTATACTTCTTCCCATTCTGCCAGGGTGAACATGGCCAGCGGGTTGAGTGGCGAAAATGGAAGCAGCAGAGTAAGTAAGGGCTGGGGGTGAGGGTGTCTGTGCTGACCCTTCCGCAGGCCATTTCAGTAGTGCACATCCGGACTGGGAAAAGCCACCAGGTTTTCCCCTGTGGGTCCCATAGCGCCCAAGATGGGAGGAAAGGGTCGGAAGCCCTGGGAGGCCCCTCTGGCTGCTCACCCAGCTCACTGGAGCACCTCGGCTGGCCTGACCTGAGAACTCCGACAGCACTGAACGGTCATCGTCTCCTCCCTCCAAAATCCCTCTTCTTATCCAGAGAAAGAGGAGAAGAAGAAGTGGAAGGATCTCAAGCTGATGAAAAAACTGGAGCGGCAGCGGGTGCAGGAGGAACAGACAAAGCGCCAGCAGGAGGAAGAGGCAGCTATGCAGAGGGAGGACCAGGGTGAGCGGACTAGGTCCTGGGCGGGGCAGAGAATGCCATGTCTGGAAGGGACCTTAGACTGACCGTGAACATGCCTCCCTTGCCCACAGGGAGGCCCTACACCCTGAGCGTGGCCTTGCCCGGTTCCATTCTTGACAATGCCCAGTCTCCCGAGCTTCGCACCTACCTGGCTGGCCAGATTGCCAGAGCCTGTGCCATCTTCTGTGTGGATGAGATTGTGGTGTTCGATGAAGAGGGCCAAGAAGCCAAGTGAGGGGCCATTCTGCAGGGCACCAAGCTCAGGGAGCAGGGAGGGGCTGCAAGAATTGGCTTGGGCTTGCCTGAGGGGAGAACCGGGCCTGAGATGCCCCCGTTGTAAGCCTGGTGGGCAGAGTTGCAAAGCAGGGAGCTGCAGAGGTCAGGCTGGGGGGATGAGGTGTTGAAGGGAGCACAGAGCCCTGTCTTTTTCTCTCCAGGACTGTGGAAGGGGAATTCAAGGGCGTCGGCAAGAAGGGGCACGCATGTGTGCAGCTGGCCCGGATCCTGCAGTACCTGGAGTGCCCACAGTAAGGGGGTGAAGGGCAGGCTTCCTGAGCAGGGGGGAGGGAGGGCCAGGTATAATTCAGGCAGAGGTGGCCTCCCTGGGGACTTCCTGAGCTCTGTGTTCTTCACTAGGTACCTAAGAAAGGCATTCTTTCCCAAGCACCAGGATCTACAGTTTGCAGGTAAGGCTTGGGGGTGGGGGTAGGGGTGAGAGTCTGACCCCCATTTCCCATGGATCATTCTCAGATCCTTAGAAATTGCTAGAACAGCTGGGAAAACGGGTCCAGGCAGAGCAGGCCTCTGTCTGGTGGCAAGAGGCAGTCTGTGACAGAGCTGGACCTTGAACCAGGGTTCCCTGCCATACCATGTGCTTTTACACCCCCCCCCCCCTCCACACCCACAGGGCTCCTGAACCCCCTGGACAGCCCTCACCACATGCGTCAGGATGAGGAATCGGAGTTCCGAGAGGGCGTGGTGGTGGACCGGCCCACCCGGCCAGGCCAGGGCTCCTTTGTGAACTGCGGCATGAAGAAGGTGGGAACCAGAGTGTGGATGAGCCCGCACTTCCCAGATAAACCCTGGCGATGAGGGCAGGGCAGTGGGGTGTGTGGGTGGGGAGCCCCGGACCCAGGCTTCTCTGCCGGCTAGTTCCCCACTGATGCTTGTTTGGACCAGAGACGTGCTTAAATTGGGGCCCAATAGGTAAAGCCAGGAGTGAATTTATTGTGTTGCTCTTTTTTAAAGCAAATCAACAGAAAATGATCCTCGTGCTTTTAAAAACAAAACCCTACAAAAACAAGTTCAAAGTCCCCCTGGGGCTGCTCCAGGCCACGCTGGGGACGCTGGGGACGGGAAGGATTACTTTGTCACCTATTGACTCTCAAGACACCTAGGGTCAGAGGCAGAGACATGTCAATATGCCGGGTGCCCTCCCCTCGAGCCAGTGGAGGGGAAAGAGGACATATGTAATACTTTCAACAATATTTATTTTTTTTTAAAAAGAACAGAAATAACTGGTTGCGTGGATGGAGAAAAGCATAAAAACCCTCCAAAGAGAAAGCAAGCACCCTATCCAGAATCAGAATTGGCACAAATAGTGCCCTTGTGAGCGGTTACTTCATGCCAGGCCCCGTGCAGCGTAACAGTAGCTGTGTTTGTGGAAGGCCTTCTGTTTGGTGGGTGAGGAAACAGGCTCAGGGGTTAAGTGACGGCTAGTAAGTGGCTGTGCCACCAAAATGAGAAAGCTGAGATTTCATCTATTTTCGAAATATTTATTTCCTGCTCTGCTGGCCCAGAGCATTCATTAGAAAAAAAAATGCTTTTGTTGATTTTTTTAGGCAGAGAGGAAGGGAGAAGGAAGAGAGAAATAGAAACATTAATAAGAAAAACATCAATTGGCTGCATCCTGCATGCACCCCTCTGGGTATCAAACCCGCAACCCTGGCCTGTGCCCTGACCAGGAATCAGATTGGTGATCTCTTGGGTCATAGGTCCGCTGAGCCATACCAGCCGGGCCACAGCATTCCTCTTTTTTTTTTTTTTTTTTTTTTTTAATATATTTTATTGATTTTGTACAGAGAGGAAGGGAGAGAGATAGAGAGTTAGAAACGTCGATGAGAGAGAGTCATCAATCAGCTGCCTCTTGCACACCCCCTACTGGGGATATGCCCGCAACCAGGGTACATGCCCTTGACTGGAATGGAACCCGGGACCTTTCAGTCCCCAAGCCGACACTCTATCCATTGAGCCAAACCGGTCCCGGCCAGAGCATTCCTTTTTCACCAGGGTCCTGTGATAGCCTTTTTGCAGGAATGGTATCTTACAAGCAGGTCTGGCTCAGGTGAGAGGACTAAGGTTGACCCGGACGCTTGAGGTCCCTTGCCAGTCAGATTCTCCCACATCTGGGCGAGTGGTGACCCCTACTGGTCTTGTGGGAAACCACACCCGTGTCTGGCTTCTCCCTAGGAGGTGAAGATTGACAAGAACTTGGAACCTGGGCTTCGTGTGACTGTGCGCCTGAGCCAGCAGCAGCCCGCAGGTATCTGACAGCTGCTTCTGCCTGGCCCGCCCAAGGCTCAGACCCTCCCTCTGTCCTCCTCGTCTCTCACCTTGTCTTCACAGCCTCTCCGCTTCCTCCCCAGAAAGCAAGACCTACCGTGGAAAAGTCGTGTCATCTCAGGACCCTCGCACCAAAGCTGGTCTCTACTGGGGCTACACGGTCCGGCTGGCCTCCTGCCTGAGTAAGGACACAGCTCCATTCATGAATCTCCTTGCTCTCTGCGGGGCAGGCCACGGCCATGCTTGACCCAAAAGTCAGACCAGAGTCCTTGTCCTGCCAACTTCCTGTGTGTCCTCGGGCAGCTGCCTTTCCTGCTCTGGGCCTTGGTCTCCCTGAGTGCTCGGCCTGGATGCTGTTAAAGACTTCAGAGGGGAAGTATCGATGGATTAATGAGGTCTCCATGGGGTGGGAATGGCGCAAAAGGACCAGAGAAGTCAGGGGTGCGGTACGTGTTCTCGAAGTCCTTCCTAGCTGCACTCTGCTTTGCTTCTGCAGGCTGGCACAGGCGTGGCCTCTCCCTGACCGGTCCCTGACCTCCCAGGAACTGGGAGGGCCTGGATCACTCCCTTACCTGGTCCCCTTCTCCACACCCCACCCCGAGCACACACACAGCCAGGCAGCTGAGGCTTGTGGGAAGCAGGCCCCTTGCTGAGCTGGCCTCACCCCCAGGCGCTGTGTTTGCCGAGGCCCCCTTCCAGGACGGGTATGACCTAACCATCGGGACGTCAGAGCGAGGCTCGGATGTGGCCTCGGCCCAGCTGCCCAGCTTCAGGTGGGTTCAGCTTGGGTCAGGGGCTGGAGAGGAGGAACGGAGCAGAGGACCAGTCTGGTGGGGGCAAACTATAGACTGGGCCCTCCTGTGTACGGGCTGAGAGCGGGGGCTGCTTTCAGTGTGGCCTTGAGCAGTCGGTGATGGCCGCTCCTGTGGGTGCCAGGCACGCTCTGGTGGTGTTCGGGGGCCTCCAGGGCCTAGAAGCTGGCGTGAATGCGGACCCCAACCTGGAGGTGACCGAGCCCAGCGTCCTCTTCGACCTGTACGTGAACACCTGCCCCAGCCAGGGCAGCCGCACCATCCGCACAGAGGTGAGCCGCCTGCCTCCCTGCTTCCGGCCCGGCTGTCCTGCAGGTTCCGCCGCCAGCCAGGGCCTTGGGGTCTAAGGTGGTTGCAACTCCCTATGCATACTCTGACCAAGGCCGCCCTGAGCCGGCCTTCTCTGGACATGGCCTCCGCCCCCCTCAACCTCTCACCACTGCAGACTGGTAGCAGGGACTGGGTCTGAGTGAGCTGGGCGTTTAGACTCCTGGGTGCCGGTGCCGGTCCAGCTGCTCCCAAGCTGGGTGTCCCAGGAGACCCCACCCACCCCTGCTCCGGGCCTCCATTTCCTTCCTGTATGTGCGCTCAGTTTCCACGTCCTCAAGTGTGACCACAGTGGACAGGGGCCTCTCCTGAAAGCTGGTCCTGGGCGTCCACAGAACCTGTGGCCCCACTTCTAAACGGCACAGGATGCCGTACCTCGGGCTCTGCTGGCGCTGCTCCAGGGGCAGACTGGCAGGATGACCCTGGGCCTGACCTCAACGCAGGGCCCTGCTGGAGGCGGCAGACCCCACGGCGCTGAAGACAAAATGGGAGCCAGGGCACCTGCCCGCCTCCCAGGCCCCAGCCCATTGCCGCGCTTCTCTTCCAGGAAGCCATCCTCATCTCCCTGGCCGCCCTGCAGCCGGGCCTCACCAAGGCGGGTGCACAGCGGAAGGTCTGTCCGGCACTGGACAGTGAAGCAGCAGCAGCGAGGCCAGAGGTTCTTGAGGTGCCACCTGAGACAAACACAGCCAAGACTTTTTCCAAAAATAACCATCTTTAATGCGACCCAGCCCGTACACCCTCAGTCTGCCTGGGCTGCTGCCCTCACTTGCTCCCTGCAGTGATGGCCTTGAGGCTGCCGGCCCTTGCCAGGATGTTTGGCACAAAGAGCAGCCCTGAGGCCCGCTCAATGCTCTCGATGGGCACCAGGAAGCGCTCCAGCGGGATTGCCTCATCCACGGGTGCGTTGGGCATCACATAGGAGCGGAGTTCGATTTGCCCGCCTGCTGCCTCCAGGATCAGCACCTTGAAGAAGTGGGTGGGCACTGCCACATGGTTCTTGCCGATTACCTGGTACTTCACATAGGATTTCCCATCAGCCTCTGTCCTGCAAGCAAACCCAGGCACACATGGCCTTTCAGGCTCCCAGGGAGTCTGGTTAGACCCAAGCTGCTGCCTCCAGGAAGCATTCCTTGACTTGACCCCCAAGCTGTGTCAAGCTGTTGGAACAACCCCTCACGAGGCTCTGTGCTCTCCTTGGCTTCCCTCACAGACTGGGAGCTTCCTGCAAAGCAGACTCACTCTTACCCTGTGGTCTGCCGGGCCAGGCAGAGGGGTGGCAATAAACGCTACTGAGAGAATCCAGCCTCCTGCACATCTGCACTCATCCACACAGACACTCAATGGCTGCCTGCCTTCCTGTGCAAGGTGAACACCAAGTGGTCCGGCAGTGACAGCTGGATTCCCAGCACAGCACAGGGCAGGGTGAACAGCAGGTGCCCAGAACACTGCCCTGTGGGGTGACTTCCACGCTAACCCTCAGGAGGCACTTGCTCATTGTTTATCAGTGCCCCGGCCAGCCCATGCTGAGCCCTATGGTGACATCCACCTGATAGGGCCTGGATCCCATCCCGACCTATAGCGTCATCCAATCACTGAGCATGCCCAGGGGGTGCCCAGGTCCTTCTCCCTGGGAGGTAGGCCCGCAGAGGGACGAGGGGAAATCTCGGGGAACAGAGGGTTGCTCCGAACAAAGGAGAGACAGGGCAGGAGCCTGGTACAAGAAGTTTTGGGCAGAGCACGAGATTGGGGGTTGGGAGTGGCAAGAGGTGATGTAAGAGAAACAAGGGCAGATGCAGGGCCTGGTGCCCATGGGCAGAGGAGAGACAGGTCTCTGTAGAAGAGAATTCAGGAGCCAGGCGGTAATGGAGAGGCTCACCAATAAGCCAGATGACTAGTGACCTGGCATTGTTGGCCCAGAGCCTGGGATGTGCCTGGAAGGGGTGAGGGAGACCCTGGTACTCCCACCCCCACCCGCTCCCCACCGGCCTTACTTGGGCAGGAAGAGCGGCCCCGTGCAGACATAGACGTTTTGGTAGGTGCGGGTCAAGCTCCGGCTGTACTTCTCCAGGTTGTTCCAGGCATTCTGGTTGAGGTGGGGCACCTGGCAGCGGAGAGGGGGCTCAGAGACCGGCTGGGACCTTTGCTCTGCCAGAGGCGCCACCCTGAACCCTGAGGAGTAGGCACTGCAGAGTGGAAACTGGTTCAAGGAACGAGAGTCACTGCTTTAGGCCACTTGGCCATGAGGGTGGGGCCTGGGCAGAGCTCAGGAGGGTGCTCCCCAGGGGCTCATGGGAAGGCCAGCTCTCCCAATCTCCTTTCCCCACTTTGGACCACATGCAGAACCCAGCTGGGGCCGTCTCCACCTGCTCCCAGTTCCATCACTGAGCGCCCCAGGCCTCTATACTGTCTAGTCAGATGGGTAGGGGGCTGTGCCTCTGGGAGAGCAGAGGTCGGACCCCACAGCGGTCTTCATCCAGTGGGTGCCAGGCCGCTGAGGGAGGGGGGCTTGCTGGGTACACAGTGACTGCTGGCTACCGGGAGCTGACCGCCGGCAGGCATCTCCTTTTACTCCCGGGAGGCAGGCAGAATGTGACAACGGCTGAAAGCTCAGGGTCCTACAATTGCATGGGTTCCTTCCGAAGTGACAGTGGGCAGTCACTTGGCCTCTGAGCCTAACAGTTACTGAAAGCTTGCCGTGGGCCAGGAAGTGTGCACCAGGTCTGCGGTCCTCATCCCCATCGCTACCGCAAAACGCAGGTACATGGCAGTAATATCCCCATTTTTACAGACGAGGAAACGAAGCCCGGGGCCTCGGGGAAGGACTGCAGAGCGGGTGCTGGGCGCCCAGGCTCGGTCCCTCCGGCAGGGCGAGCCCTGACCTCGCTCCGCACTCGGCTTCCCCGGCCGCACAGTAACGGCGGCTGCAGGGCCCCGGGCCGGCCTCGCCTTCCGCCGCGGGCGCTACCTGGGGCGCGACGTTGCTCAGGTAGAAGGTGTCGTCCATGGCCTTCTGGCTCCAGCGGTGGTTGGCGGCGGCGGCCAGGTGGCCGCGGTCGAAGCCGCTGCCGCGGTAGTCGGCGTTGGTGGCGCGGTGGTAGGCGTGCACCGACTCGTCCTCGCGGAAGTCGCAGGAGCGGCGGTCGCCGTCGCCGCGGAGCCGCTCGGGCCGCAGCTGCTCCACCACCCAGAGCGCGCAGCGCGTGCGCGGGTCGTAGCTCAGCACGTACGACTCGCGGCTCTTGAGCTGCGCCAGCCCGGGCAGCCCGTACTTGGCCAGCTCGCCGGGCCCGCTGCCCGCCAGGGCCCCGGGGCCGGCGGGCACGACGGGCAGCTCGGCCGCCGCCGCCACGGGCAGCACCGGCAGCCGGCCCAGCAGCCCCGGCGCCGGCCGCGCATCCGCCCGCCGCCGCCGCCAGCCCTCGGCCGCCGCGCCCAGGCCGGCGCCCAGCGCCAGGGTCAGGGCGGCCCGCAGCGTCCGCATGGCCGGGAGCGCGTCCGCGGCGCGAATGGAGGGCGGCCCGGGGCGCCGGGAACGCCGCGACCTCGAGGCGTTCGGACCAGCGAGACTCTTAAAGGGGCCGCGCCGGCCTGTGGGGCCCACCGCGGGGATGGGGCCGGGTGGGGGCTTGTGTGGGCGCCGTGCCCTCCCCTTCCGCTCTCTAAGGCTCGGAAGGGCTTAGGACTCTAATGAAGGGAGACATACTAACGAAGGGAGACCACTCATGATTGGAAGCCATGGTTCCTTGTCCTTTAAGATGCGGACCTGGGGGGCACGGCACCGGCGTTATGGTTTGTGATTGGCTACCACTAGGGCGGGCTCCACGCCGCCCCGCCTCCTCACGGGCCTCCCGCGAGGACCCCTCCTCTGCGCCTGCGCAGAGCTCCCACTTTGTGAGTGCCTGGAGCGTCAGTTCAGCCCAAAGCGCTTCCATCGCTGCATTTAATCCTCAGAAGAGTCTAGAGAAGAGCTCCTAGTGGCACAACAGGGACCAGACAGCGGATTGCGTCCTAACAATTGCACCACAAGCCAAAAGTTCTAAGGCCAAGTTTTTCTTAACACCCGGAGAACAAGGATGCGGGTGGCCCATCCTAACTGCTGTTTGGAGTAGAAACTGGTACAACTCCAGAAAGCAATTGGGCAGTATGTATGAAAAGCCTTAAAACGGTGTTTACTTTTAAACCCAGATAGAGGACTGAGCTGGGAAAATGAATCGGGAATGCAAAGATTTCAACGAAACTTCCTCGCAGTTATAATATTCAGAAATAGAGACTGGATTTCCAACATTGTTGGTATATTATTATAGAAAGAATAGTATATAGCCTATAAAAAATTAAGTCATCCAGCAACTTGCTCAACACCTACCATGTGGGAGCTGGCAATACACAAAACTATATATCAAGACAGTTATGGCCGAAACCGGGTTGGCTCAGTGGTAGAGCATCGGTCTGCGGACTGTGCCAGGTTCGATTCCGGTTGGGGGCATGTACCTGGGTTGCGGGCACATCCCCAGTGGGGGGTGTGCAAGGGGCAGCTGGTCGATGTTTCTTTCTCATCAACGTTTCTAGCTATCTCTCTCCTTTCCTCTCTGTAAAAAAATCAATAAAATATATTAAAAAAAAAAAAAAAGACAGTTATGCATTTCAGGGGATTCTGGGCATAAAATGAGATACTTGCAAGGGCCCTTCAGGGGCAAGGGAAGAAAGGCAAGGATTTTATGCATTGGACCCTAAAATGGACAGGGACTTGGTATGTTCCAGGTTCACAAATTGTCCAGCTCTAAGTTCACTTGAATAGCAGACCTGACAAGTATTTGAGGTCAAGACCCTACCATGCATTTAAAAATTTACCATGTTAATAAAAGTATTCATTCGCTTGGAAAAAGACAATTATATAATAAAAATTACATCTGCAAAGAAAAGACTAACATATTGTCAGGGATTTCCTCCAGATTGTGGGATATGAATGACTTGTTTTATTTGTGTATGAGTTTTCATAGTTTCCCAATCTAAAAAAACAAACTTGCCTGAAACCATGATGTAATTACCTTTTCCCCAGTCCACGCTCCCTCCTTCTCCCAGCTGCAAACTGCATGCCTGAATGAGGGGCTAAACAGGTTACCAACAAGATCCTCCTGGCCTCTTCCTCAGACACCTCTAAGAGCCTCCTGCCTCCACCCCTGCCCAAACTTTTCTTTCTTCTTCTGAGGTCTCCAAGGTTCCAGCCCATTATAGCACCAATGCCCTTTGCAAAGAACACATGATTTATTAGACAACTTGTCATCAACAGCATTGATTCAAGAAACAAAACTGATTTCCTTTAAAAAACAACAACACAAACAACAAAAGCAGACTAACTCTGACCCTCCGGGGTGAGTGAGCCCTGCTGAATTCATACAGCCCAGTCTGTGATGTCCAAACTCCCGGGACAGCTTCACAGGCAGAGCCGGGGCACGTGGCTGTCTGAGAACCTCCCTCGAGAGTTTAGAAAGTGAATCACTGAGGGTAGGTTCTTTCCTCAGCCAAACCTGGACATGGTCCCTGTGCTCCTGACCTTCATCCGAAAGTCCAGGAGAGGGCACTGGCCTCAGGCCTGCCACTGAGGCAAATTAGATGCACTGATTCAAGTAGTGTGGCCCCAGAAGGGAAGGCAAGGGGACAGGCGAGAGGGAACGCATCAGGTGCCCTGGGCAGTGTCTGCTGGGTCCCAGGCGGTGCCCACATCTCAGGCTACGAAGGAGTCAAAGCTGGAACTGAACAAGCCAACAAATTCTGGGAAGGTGGGCCAGGATGGTGGGAAGCAGTGTCTGTCCGGTGCAGGGCCTTGGAGTCTTCCTTACCCTCAGTTCCAGTACAGAGCTCAGAGCACTCCCAGCAGGACGTGCTGGGGAAGCAGGAAGGTTCCAGAAGAAGGGGGAGAGGATGCTGAGTCTGACCTCAGAAAGCCCAAAGAACATGCTTCTAACTCCTTTTCTGCCTTCCTGGGCCCCCCCCCCCCATCCCCCAAACCAAACACTTGCCAATCTGCAATAAATATCCAGTTTGAATAAATAGTAAAAATCTCCCAAAAACTGTGTTATGAGAGGGGGTGGCGAACAGGCAGGTGCAAAAAGTCCCAACAGCATCCAAAGCAGGAGGAGCTTCCGGGGGCAGCTGGGCCTGACCCACAGCCGGCCCGCTTTGGGGGCACCAGGGTACCTGCCCCCCAGTCTGAGGAGGATGAAGACCCTGTCCCATTACTCGGCTGTCCAGACCCAAACCACCTGCCTCCTTACAAAAGGAGGGAGACCTGATCAGAATAAGCCCTTTCTTCCCACCGCCCAGCAGTGGGAGTAACCAACAGCTCCTGCTCCAAGTGCACCCGCCCCAAATCCTGGGACCAGCCCAAGTAGGTGACCAGCACCCCTTCTGCTGCTCGGCTCCCCTGGCGCTGACAGGATCCAGGGCCTCTGAGCTCAGCGCTGCCGGCCCAGGGAGGCTCCCTTTGGTCCCGCTGGCCAATTATGGGACTCACCTCCCTGGATGGGCCCTGAGAGCCATGGAAATGACTGCTCTTCTGAAGCACTTGGACCCCAAACCCTGGCCCAGCACTGCCTTACTGTCCTTTGCCTTTGGGGAACTCTCTGAAGACTCAGCTCTCCCTTCTCCATCCCTGGGCAGAAAGGAGGGTAAGAGGCTCAAAGCCTCATGGGCCATCACTTCTCAGCAGCTTTTGGTTTCCAAGATTTGGGGAAGGGAGGCAGGTTCAGGGCCCTCTGGTGAGGCACTGCGGACTCCCTCCCAGCCTGAGGACCTGGGAGCCTAGGGCTGAGGGTGGGAACAGGGTGCAGAAACCAAGGGTGGCTTCCAGGGGCTTTGCTAAGCCAGACTCCTCATTCTTTCTCTGGGTTTCACAGGCGTGGAGGGGAAGAGTGAGGGGAAGAGGCTGGGGATAAGGCACCCCAAGAGAGGAGGGCAGAGGGGGAGCCATGTTGAGGGGGAGACAGACAGAGAGACAGGAGAGGCAGAGACCTAGAGGGACTCAAAGACCCTCCCCCCTCACACCCACACTGACAGACAGAGGAGACTGACCCACAGACACACACACTCAGTGAGAGAGGGGCAGAGGGTGTGGCCTGGGCCTGGCAGCTTCTAGCGCCCTCACAGTGCCACTGTGGCCACGGAGAAGCCTAAGCACCAACCCCAGAGGTGGTTTCTGGCTCATGTGCCAGGCACCTCCCCCACCGCAGCAGGAGGGAACAGCCCAGCCTGTGCCAGCCCAGCGCCCCCATCTGCCCAGGACACAACTTCCGGAGCTCCAGCCTTGCCCAGCGCCTGGGGGAGGGTCCCAGGGTGCAGGGCAGAGGGAGAGCCAGGGCTTGGTGGTCAGGAAGGAGCGGGGCACAGTATGCCCCCAGTGGGAGTGGCCTGGGGGACGGAGCTTCCCCTCGGCTGTGATCCCACAGGCTTCTGTGTTCCAGAAGCCAGGACGCCGGAACCAGTGGTGGCCTCTCTCCCTGGGCCTCCGCTGCCAGGCTACTTGGAGTCTTGGAGTTCCTTGGCTTTCTGTAGGATCTGGCAGACATCTGTGATGGGGTAATCCTGGGCACGGGAAAAGCCAACAAGAGGCCTCTGAAGTCAGCTCCACCTCCGCCCACCCGTGCCCTTCCCACCGAGGCCTGTCACCATGCTGCCTCCTGGGCCCTCGGCAGGGGCCACAGGTTATCACCCTACATGCAGCTACCATGGCACCCACTGCAGCACTACGTAACCAAGCCAACCAGCTCCACCCACCGGTTCGGCTGCCCTTCCCTAGACCAGGACCATTCTGCTCCTCCCTCCCCACCTGGCACTGGGCTTGACTGCCCATACATCCGCTCACAGGGGCACCTAAAAAGCCAATCATGGGGTGCTTATGCCTGTTTACCGATCTACTCAGTCAAATTATTGCAAACGAACTCCAGGGCAGGTATTGGTGAAGAAACTGAGGCCTAGAGAGCTTATTACTGCCTTCGGTCACATGGCTAGGAGAGCAGCAGAACGAAGATGTGAACCTAACACTGTCTGACGGCTGAGCCGATGTCCTTAACCACTGAGCCCCACACTTTCCTGCTTCTAGCACCACCACACACTGGGCACCGCGGTGTCCCAGGTACAACGAACAGGTAGAGCGCTTCGTTCAGAGAGGTCAAGTCATTCCGTCAAGGCCACACTACACTCCAGAGGTCAGTACCAAAGCCAGGACTCACACCCAGCCAAACCCAGATCTGCATCAGGGGTCCAAACTCCTAAGCCATGCTACACTCTACTGTTCTGACCCCGCCTGTCCCAGCAGCTGGCATGGAGTGGGCGCTTGGTAAGTGTCTGCCTCTGAACACTATTACCTGAAGGAGCCGCATGTTTACAGTGAAATCCCCTTCCAGCAACTGCTCCCGGATCAATCTAAGGAAGGAAAACAAGCAGCAAAGTGCTGGGACCCTGGGCTGCTCCGAGTGCAGGCCCCATCCGGCCCCATCTGGCCCGTCCGGCCCTTTCGGCTCCTTCCGGCTCACCACCCCTGGCGAGTTTGGTGTGACACTGGCCCAAGGTTCCCAGCGGCCCCCTCCAGCCCAGGGAGAGCAGTCCCGCCCGCCCTCTGCTCCAGGCCACACTCACATGAGCATGGCGCAGCACACCAGGAGGAGGAAGTCAAAGCGGCTGTCGTCAGCGAAGAGGGAGTCCCAGATGCGGATGACGTCAGGCAGCAAGAACTCCTGGGACAGCAGCAGCGTCAGCCAGCGGAAGGCGAAGAACTGGGGCTTTATGTTCTGCTCTTGCTGGGGAGAGAGGCGCCAGTAGGTGCAAGGATCCGTGTTGGCTGGTCGCCATGTGACATCATGCGGTCTTTACATGTACATTCAGATACACAGCAGGGCCCGGGACCTAGCCGAGGAGGCAGCAGGCCGGGGGTGAGTGCCGGGCACTCGGGGGGCTAGCGCTGGGCTGCCTCCATAGCCTTGCTCGGTTAAAGGGGTAGCTGCTGCTGCTGACAACTCACGCTGTCATATCTTCTGACATTTTTAAAGAGAAGCCATAAACCCAAACTTACATAAGCTCTCTAGATTTTAAATGACAGCTCAGATGACTTTATTTTTTTTTATATATATATATTTTATTGATTTTGTACAGAGAAGAAGGGAGAGAGATAGAGAGTTAGAAACATCGATGAGAGAGAGTCATCGATCAGCCGCCTCTTGCACACCCCCTACTGGGGATATGCCCGCAACCAAGGTACATGCCCTTAACCGAAATCGAACCCAGGACCCTTCAGTCCCCAAGCCGACGCTCTATCCATTGAGCCAAACCGGTCTCGGCAGACAGCTCAGATGACTTTAAAACACTGTACATCCCATGCACCAACAGATTGCTGGTTCAATTCCTGGTCAGGGCACATGCCTAGGAGGCAGGCTGGATCCCCAGTAGGGGGAGTGCAGGAGGCAGCCCATTGATGTTCTGCTCTCACATCAATGTTTCTCTTTCTTTCTTGCTCTTCCTTCCTGTCTCTCTAAAAATCAATAAAAATATTAAAGAAATAAAACACTGTACAGATTACGGAGAGAGAGAGACCATTAGCCGGGCACTTACTGTAACTCAGTCGTGTGCTTAGCATGTTAAATATGTTGCCTCACTTGTTTACTCCATAGGACAAGCCTACAAGCAAATTATTCCCAGCGGAGATGCGCACTCTGGTCAGCCACAGTGAGCATCATTAACTGAAAACCTGCAGTCCCGATATGCCAAGATTTCAGGTTCAATCTCTGGTCAGGCCACACACAACAATCAACCAATGAATGCATAAGTAGATGCACAAATCGATGTTTCTCTTTCTCCCTTCCTCTCTCAAATCAAAATTAAAAAATAAAACAGCAAAAAAATAATTCTATATGTTTAAAAATATTTTAAATATATTTTATTGCTGAAACCGGTTTGGCTCAGTGGACAGAGCGTTGGCCTGCGGACTGAAAGGTCCCCAGGTTCAATTCCAGTCAAGGGCATGTACATTGGTTGCAGGCACATCCCCAGTAGGGGGTGTGCAGGAGGCAGCTGGTCAATGTTTCTCTCTCATTGACGTTTCTAGCTTTCTATCTCTCTCCCTTCCTCTCTGTGGAAAATCAATAAAATATATTTTAAATAAATAAACATATTTTATTGATTTTTTTTTTTTTTTAGAGAGGAAGGGAAAGGAATAGAGAGTTAGAAACCTCGATCAGCTGCCTCCTGAGGATGTGCCCGCAACCAAGGTTCATGTCCTTGACCAGATCTGAATCTGGGACCCTTGAGTCCGCTCCATGGGCTCTCAGGGCCTCACACAGGCCGACACTCTATCAACCGAGCCAAACCGGTTCGGGCCATATAAATTTTTTTATTCCCCAAACTGTTTGTTTATATATAACTTCTTTACTGAAATGTGTTCTGAAATAAACATAAAATACACTAGGTTTTAAAATTTTTTCTGAACTTTTTTTTTTTTTTTTTAAATATATTTTATTGATTTTTCACAGAGAGGAAGAGAGGGGGATAGATAGTTAGAAACATCGATGAGAGAGAATCATCGATCAGCTGCCTCTTGCACACCCCCTACTGGGGATGTGCCCGCAACTCAGGTACATGCCCTTGACCGGAATCGAACCCGGGACCTTTCAGTCCGCAGGCAGACGCTCTATCCACTGAGCCAAACCGGTCCCGGCATTTTTTCTGAACTTTTAAAAATGAAATTCACCCTTCTTTTCTGAGATGACAAATAGGCTGAACGAATTAAGTGCCTGGTAAATGTCTCCCATTGTGCCTGGCACACAATGGGCACCCTATCAACTCCCCTTCCCTGCCAGCCTGGTCTCTCGGCAGGGGGTCGCCGTTCCCTAGCAACAGCAACCACTTTCAATCCCCAGAACTCGCCCTGGACCTGGGATGCTCAGCAAGTCTGTCCCTTCCCACCTGGCCTTTCCGGGTGGGCCTGGGTCCTCACCAATTTCAGGTAGAGTTCCACATCCTTCTCCTTCAAGGTGGAGTACACCTTTTCCATCTTGTAGGTGATGCCACACTGTGAGTCGTCCAGGCTCTTGATGAAGTTGTCCCGTATCTCGGCCATGAGGTTGGTGAAGCAAAAGAAGGTGTCTGCCTCGGCGTGCTCTGGGCGAGACGGGCAGGGTGAAGGCAGCCCAAGGGAGCTGGTGCCCTCCTGAATCCCACCCCAAAGCTCACCTCTGACATCCTCCCTTCACCCCTGAGTCTCACCAAGTCCCTGCACCCCCACGGGCAGGCTCAGTGCCTTCGCTGGCCCTGACCACTCTCCACCCCAATACTAAGGACATCCCCTCTTTCCTCTCATCTTCTGCTAACACTGTACACCCGCTTAGCAACTGATTACATCTCTTCTGATGACATTTTTCAAATCACTATTTATTTAAGTCCTATCATTCCATTTCCTGTATAACATCTCCTGTCCGCTATCAGACATTCAGTTACAAATATCAAGAGCTCGGTCCCCGCCGAAACCGGTTTGGCTCAGTGGTAGAGCGTCGGTCTGCGGACTGAAAGGTCCCAGTTTCGATTCCGGTCAAAGGCATGTACCTTGGCTGCGGGCACATCCCCGGTAGGGGGTATGCAAGAGGCAGCTGGTCGATGTTTCTCTCTCATCGACGTTTCTAGCTCTCTCTCCCTTCCTCTCTGTAAAAAATCAATAAAATATATTTAAAAAAAAAAAAAAAAAAAAGAGCTCGGTCCTCTTCCAACATTCTAGCAGGTCTGAGCTGGGATGGCTCTGAGAGGTCCAGGCCAACCCCGTACCCGACAGGGGGAGAGGAAGGCCCAGAAAGAGAGGCTGCAGGCTGCACAGTCTGGTAAAGCCACTGGCCTGGCTTCCTTTAGTCCGTTTTTTAAGGAGCCGGCAACAAGGGATGGGGGCAGCCAAGAGCCCTTTTACCTTTCCACTCGTTGTTGGGGTCGGTGGCGAAGGTATAGTAGAGGGGCCCCACAATCTCGTTCATGCCCTGCACGTAAGCGATGCCAGGGTTGAGCTTGGCATAGATGAACAGGATCCGCTCCACCACCTCCCAGTGGGCCTCGCAGCCGTTGGGCAGCACCTCGTACTCATTCAGGGATGACGGCGTTGAGTGCTTTTGTGGGGAGCTCATCTGGGGGAGAAGAGGAGCCCAGTAAGACGATGGGTGGCATTATGGACAGCATGTTCTCATCAGCAATGTCTACCATTAAGTTTAAACTTAACCTCCAGCTGATGGGGAATACAGGGCTTACAGGAACGTGCCCAGGAGGAAGAGAAGACAAAGCCAGAAGGTGGGATATTCGACAAGACAGCTGGACCAAAATTTAATTTAATCTATAGTGATAAGCCCTGGACAGCTTTGCTCAGTGGTTAGAACATTGGCCCAAGGACCGAAGGGTCTCAAGTTCGATTCCCAGGCAAGGAGACAAGCCTCAGCTGCAGGTTTGATCCCCAGTCCGTTGGTGCGAGAATGGGAGGCAACCAGTTGCTGTGTCTCCCTCACATCAATGCTTCTCTCTCCTCCTTTCCACTCTCTCTGAAGACCAATGGAAAAAATATCCTCGGGTGAGAATTAAAAAAAATAAATTACAGTGATGGAAGCCTAACTACTGCTTTCCTTTGGGAGAGCGGTACTGACTGGGAAGAGGCATACTCTGCAAAATACAAACATTCTGTGTCTTGTTCTGGTTGGCAGTCACACAGATACATACATAAGGAAAAATTCATCCACTTATACACCTAAGATTTGTGCATTTTACTGCATGTTAAGTTATACTTCAATTTAAAAAACAAAACTTCAAATATGTCAAAAATAGAGAACAGGCTGCCGAAACCAGTTTGGCTCAGTGGGTAGAGCGTCGGCCTGCAGACTGAAAGGTGCCGAGTTCGATTCTGGTCAAGGGCAAGTACCTTGGTTGCGAGCACATCTCCAGTGGGGGTTGTGCAAGAGGCAGCTTGTCAATGTATCTCTCTCATCAACGTTTCTAACTCTATCCCTCTCAATTCCTCTCTGTGTAAAATCAATAAAACATATAAAAAAAAACTTTTTTTTAAAATAGAGAACAGGCTAAGAATCTCCAAAAAGTGAAATGATGTGGGGGCTGGGCGAAGGGAAGGCTGCTCTAGATCAAGAGACTAAAGAACCAGCATCCCCAGGAGGCCCACAGACCTAGACTGGGGCTGGTTGGGAGTAAAAACACAAAAATACTCTGAGCGCAACTGAGGACACACGGCATGGACGGGCCATTAGGAGTTATTAATCATCTGTTTTCTCCTCCTAGAGGTGTCAGTGCTGAGGAGGAGGGCCTTATTCCCAGGAGGGGCCTGCTGAGGTGCTGGGGGAGTCTAGGACACAAAAACCAATCTGGCCAGATGTTAACCGTTGATAACATTAGCTGTGAAGAACAATATAAGTATGCATTGTACTTTCTTTTTCAATATTTCTGAATGTTTTGAGATTTTCATAAGAAGAAATTGGAGAGGATAATCCCTACTTAAAACTTAGGAAATGGAGCAGACGTCGCCAACACCGGCTGCCCATCAGGTCCTCGGGAGCTTGGCACAGACTCCGGTGCTGGGGCCACCTGTGTGCGAGCCACAGGCAAGCCAGGCAGGGACAGTGCAGGAAACTGTCCTGCAAGTGCAGGGCCCTGGAGCGTTTCAACTCCCTTTCCCATTGTACGTACACGTGCATGTGTATACATGCATGTACATGTGCAGGCACACATACATGCCTACGTTTCCTGAGAGCTCTCTCTGTGCAAGTCAGTGCTCCACAACATGCCTCAATGTCATGCTCTGAACAACCTAGAATATTCTCCCAACATTCACTTTCAAGACTAGGAAACACAGGCTCAGAAAAACAGGTCACTCATCATGTCTCGAATTGAATGGTGGCATTAGGATTCAATCCCAGGCATGCTGACTCCAGAACCTGAGGTTCAGGCCTCAAAGCATGCCCAGTGGTTTCCAGCTTTCCAGGAATATGCATGGCCATGACCTCGTTTCATCTTGGCAATTCAAAAGCCAGGCAGGGCAGAAAGGATTATGCCCAGTCTACAGAAGAGGAGATGGAAGCCGAGGAAGGGAAGCCCAGATGACTCGCCCAGGGTTAAGCAGATGGTCAGCTCTGACTCAAGTTGCCCCGCCACAGGTCCAGAGTCTAGGAATGAAGCTTCTGGTCAGCTGCTCTGCCCCCAGGACAAGGTCCAAACCTAAAATGGGTAAGAGCTCCACTCCCAGCCCTCAGTGACTAGTGAAAGGAATGACAGAGCCAGGTGCTGCCGCCAGGACACACAGCCAGCCCGTCACTCAGCCAGCATTCTGCACCTCCACACACCCATCTGTCGCAGGCAAGCAGCTGCTGGGACCAGCTGTAACTGCCCATCAGCCCTGCAGCGGGAAGTGGCTGCTCTCCTACAGACACAGCCTTGACCGGCCATTCCACTTGGAGGGAACAGCTCCGTAGTATCACGTCCCTAGCTTCTGGAAGGTTACAGAAGTTTTTCCTGTGTTGGAGGCAGTGAAAAGTCAGAGCTCCAGGTACCGAACCGGTAGGTAGGCGTTGGGAAGTAAGCTTACACACGCAGTTGGCGGTAGTTACAGAGCCTGTGGAAGACGGGGTTCAAGCACTCAGCATGGCCCGGCAGCACAAGTCCATCAATCCTACCTCCCGAGCCCCTCAGATCTGTCCCACCCGCTCCTGCCTGAGCAATGCAGCCACCTCCCAGCCCCCTCCACCCCTCCACCGCTGGTCCTGCCCCTTCAGGTCAACACCCCACAGCGCCAACAGCGGTCTTTTACAAGAACAGACCCGGGTCACATCACTGTCCCCTCAGAATGCCACCCGCGCTCCCCAGCCCTCAGGACAAAAGCCCCATGGCCTCACCACCAGCGACCTCTCAAGTGTCCTCCAGCCACCTTCTCTCCCTTGCCCTCCACTCCTAGCCACACTGCACACCTCCATTCCCTGAACACACCACACTACCTCATGCCCAAAGACCGCCACGTATGCCCTCCTACCTTCCAGAATGTTCTTTCCTCCTAGCTTGAACGTAAGACTTCCTCTGGGAAGTCTTCCCTGATAGCCAGGCCAGGTCAGCTCCCCACCCATCAATGCTCCCATCACATCACACCTGGAGTTACTTTTGAAAGAGCCATCTCCCTACAAGAGCAGCCTGGCTCCCTCACCACACAGCAGGGACCTCCCCCAGCAGCCATTACCTCAGCCTTGATCTTGACCCCTGACTTTCCAGAAAGAGCCCCAGCAGGACTGAACTTGTCCTGAGTGACTGTCAGGACAGATGGTCGTGGGGCCAGTGGCCAAAGGGAAGCAGGAAGGAAAAGGCTGTCGCGGGGAGTCCCCGGGGCCTCTCACATTTGTGACCCCGCTCCGGTTCCGGGCCACCGTCTGGGACTTCAGCGTCGTCTGCTCCACCCGCTTACGGAGGGTCTCAAAGTCGTTCTGGGGGTCCAGGATGAGGAGGCACGGGTACTCGGTGGCCCTCTGGAAGAAGGAGATGTCCGGGCACAACCTCCTGCAAGAGGGAACAAGAGAGAGTACTGTTACTCAGGCCCGAGGCGTCAGACATTCCAGCTCCCAAAAGACATTTAAAAAAAATTAATAACATTATATATTTTTTAATTTAGTTTTTAAGAGGCAATATAATCATTATAACATATAACCATATTCTTATGTGTATTTGCAGATACACCCCCACACACACACATATATATATAATATATAGTTTTTAAGGTCTTCTTATTGATCTTATGATTCAACTCGTCCCTTAAATCACAAACATCTTTCCACGTCAAGAACAGCTAATATGTACAAGAGTGCTAACTGTAGTGTGGTTTAGGATGATTATACAGCATATTGTACAGAATATTCTACAGATGCCATGGGAAATAAATGTCCAAGACAAAGTGAGCGGAAAAGCAAGTCCAAGGTCCAGCCCGTGTCTCCCTCCCTGTGGCTCCATGGGCTCTCAGGGCCTCGCAAGGCAGATCCCACCCACCCCCCGCGGCCTTTCCCTCCCTCTCCCCAGGCCCCTGACTCCCCAGAGCTCAGCCGGAACGCTGCTCCCTCAGCAAGGCACCTGAACACCTGAAACACCTGAACTCTCCCTTCAGAGCATTTTCCATAAGCGCTAATTACACGAATTTGTTGAACACCTGTCTTCCATCGCCCCGCCCCCAAGGCTCTAGGCTCCCTTGGGAGAGGGACACCTGTCTCGGCACGAGGATCGCCATCGAGCAGGGGGTCAATGTCCATCTGGTGAAGGAATGATCAGGTGGACCCATCAATGCCCAGGACAAATGAGATCAAGGCAGGGAGGAGAGAGCTGGGCGCCGGCAAGCACAGTGACCCCACACACACTCACTGCACCCACCAGCCCATTCTCAGGCCCCGCATCACCGACTGCCCAGACACCACCCACAGCTCCTCACGCCCCACTGCACCCTGCTGGCCGGGCTGGGAAGGGCAAGGACAGGACTGGGACCCCTCCCAGCCCGGCCCCCGCTCACCGGACGTCTTTGTCGATCTGCAGCAGCACCTCGTTGTCCTTGAAGTAGGTGTTCCACCGGCTGTCGGGGTTGGGGTTGAGAGGCTGTGGGGAAGACATAAGCTGCTCTCCCAGGCCCAGCGGGAGCTCCAGAGGCATTGCCTGCAGAGGCCTGAGCAGTGGCCTCACACCACCAATCCCATCACAGGCCCCGCTGGGGCTCCGAGACCCCGTTCAACTCCGCAGCCAACAGCCACGCCCAGCTGCCTGCTCTGAGCACACCCTTGCCCGGAGGACCCCATTCCTTCTGCCTCCTGCTCTGGCTCTAGAATGCTGCCCAGGACAGGTTCTCACTAAATGCTTGTCGACTGAATGAACGGATGAATGAACGCCGTATCTTGAGGTCTAAATGATGCGCTGAGTCACTGACTGCAGCCCTTGGAGGCTGGGCCTGCATGGGCCCCACCGCCACGTCTCACACCTCGAGGCGCGCAGGCGGAGCGCATACTGGAGAGCGAAGGGGCTTCCTCCAGGCCAGAAAGGCAGTCCGCCCCCCTCCCACCTGCCCTGGCCTCCTTCAGCCAGCAACTCACAGAACCTGCGTCAAGGAACAGGGTGAGGAGGGAAGGAGACAAGGCAGGCAGAGGCCGGGCTCAGTGCTGCTCACAGCACTCCCAGCTGCCACTTAGATTCCCGCCTGGGCCCGGGGCAGCGGGGAGACAACCTTCAGGGGCAGAGCAGCCAATGAAGAAAGGAGGTACTGCAAGGGCCAGCTGCCCACTCAAAGCCCACACCCCTCTCCACCCTGTAGCCCCCGTCCCCGCTGCTGACCCCGACTCACATGGTCCTCAAAGGTCACATCCTCTCTGGACACACCCATGTTGGCCTTGGCAATGCCGGGCTGGATAATCATTTCCCTCAGGAACTGGGAATACAGCTCCCTGCAGGAGAGAAGAGCGGGGAGGGGTAACTCCCAAAGGCCTTGCCCAGGAGCCCGGAACAAGAGACAGGTCAGACTCAGCACCACCTGCTCTGTCTGGTACAAAGACCCTCCCGTCATCCTCCTCTCCCAGGTCTCACCTACCTCTGCTTGGCCAGGATGGCGGTCCATGAGGCACGCTCCAGGGGGAGGTAGTTTAAGAGAATCTGCACAGAGCAAGAGGAGCACAGCGCTGGTGACCCCCAGCCCAGCCCTGGACAGCAGATGGAGGCTGACAGGCCTCAAGCGAAACCTCTGATAACGCCCAGCGAGGACGTGACGGGCTGAAGCCCAGGAGCGTGGCCATGGGCTGGGGGCCTCCCTCCTCCTATCCCAACCCAGGCCTTTCCTCCTCTCCTCCTCACAGATTCTTCCAGATGATCATAAGACCCTGTGCTCAAAGGGGCTGGAAACCAGGAGACTGGGCTCCCACAGCCACAGCATTTAATCGTTTGGGACAAAGCACAGCCTTTTTCGTCCCAATATGCATCACCGCCCCTGCTCTGTCTGAGCCAGGACCCTCAGGGCTTCGCTGGCATGACAAAGCCTTCTATCCCCAAAGGGATCCTGCAGGGGACACCGAGAGGAACCGAAAGCCCAGGACTTCCCAGAAAAGCTCCCCCAGACAAAGCAAGGAAAGGCACAGAACAGAAAGGGGGGGCCGGGGACGGGAGGGGATGGGAGGAGCACGGCAGCCCGTGCAGGAACCAGGGACTCTCAGCAGAGCAGATGCCCCCCCCTGCAGGCACACCCACCTTCCAGCAGAGGCACCGGAGTCCACCCTCACAGGGGATGCCTGTGGACACAGCGGGCAAAGGTCACACCTAGGCCAGAGCCACACACACACACACACACACACACACACACACACACCCCGCCCCCGGCCCTCCACCTCGGAGCCAGTCGGCAGGGAGTGGAGTGAGCAAGAAGTACTTCTTCAAGAATCGTTTACTGCCACAAAAGTTACTAGACTAGGTGCTTATCCTGTGTGTGCTTTCTCTCCGTGACCCCTGACCCCCGTCCCCAGCCCAGAGCTTCCTCTATCTGGACTATTCCTTGGAGGATTAACCTCCTCATCCTGGATATTTCTTCCTCGGAGCAACCTGTACCAACCACCATCTCTTCCCAATCAGGCCAATCGCCCACTATGAAGAATGGCTCCGTGACGTCACAGCATCCCTCAGAGCCCGGATGGCGGAGCGGAATTTGTGTACATAGCTAACATTTTAATGCTCACTAAGGGGAAGCCCCAGGACAAGAACCTCATCTGACTTACATTCCCAGCCCCTGGCACAGGGCACGGCACACAGGAGACCGTCCGCTAAGCTACAAATGCTAAATCTCTGTGCTTTCCGGACCTGACTGCACTTCACCCTCATTATAACCCTTGTAAGGAGGGAAGATCAGCTTCAGTGTCCTCAGCTTACAGATAAGGAATGTCATCAAGGACTCAAGACACAGGTCAGTCTGTCTCCCGGGGTCAAACTTTCACCACTGCCGCAGACTGCGCCCTCCGAGGCCTGGCAGATTCCTCAGCCCTGCGGTTCACAGCACCACAAGAGCCCAGTTACCACTCCCGACAGAAAGGCAACTTCTGCACCGCTGTCAGAAACCTCCAGTGCAGCTGCTGTCCGAGGTCCCTGCCTACCTGGACCGGGGGCTCATGCCCCCATCTCAGAACCTGCGAGGGGAAGCAGATCCCTAAGAATGCCTCGCTGACAGAAGTACAGAGGCTGAGCAGCAACGAGAAGCTCCACAGAACAGCCTGATGAAGGGTTTTTAAAAGATGAAGGCTGACCGAGCCAGCAAGGGCAAAGTCAAACACTGCAGAGGAACAGCTCCATCAGCCAGTTGTCTCAGGCTGGAAACTTTCTCACCGCTAACCAAAGTTCACTATCGCCTCAGTAGGCGTTGGTCCCCAGCCAGGGAGAGAACCAGGAACTACTCTGCAGCTACCAAATTCTGCAACACAGGAAGCGCGGGGAATGAGGGAGGACGGGCCTCAGTTCAAGAAGTCTCCTCCCCATGCTCTTCCTGTCCTCCCAGTTATTCCAAGGAGGTGACAAAGCGTCCTTCAGACACCAATGAAGCCCCCTAAGGCCCTCAGGCAAGCTAACTATGGCCACTCACTGTGGCTCAGGGAGTCCCTGGTTGGTCGGCTCCACAGGGTCTGGAGAAGCCCCAAGAGGCAGGCTGGCCCCCAGAACCCAGCAGGCCCGGCCCTGGGCTCCCTCCCCTCCATCCTCGCCACAATGCCGCTCTGGGAAAACTCTGAAAACGGGGCGCTGCCTCTTACCACTAAAACTGAGTTCCCGGAGCTTCTCCAAGGCGATGGTGGGCTCCTTCAGGACCTCCTGGAAGTCCGCAATCCTGGAAGGCGGGAGGGGGAGGCAGATGAGATGCACCCAAACCGAAGATGACAGACAGGCTTAGTGAGCACTCCGAAGCCCACAGCTCCCTCAGACCACCCATCTCCAACCTGCTGCTCCCTCCCCTTCAGATGGCAAAGCTCACGAAGGTCCGAAGCAAAGTCAGCGTGGGGAGCTACAGAGCTTCCGGTCATAGCTTCCTCTAAGCTCAAAGACTTGGAGGTATTCCTGTCCAGAGGTTCTCAATCACACAAGCATCATGAAGCCAGACACATTCTCACATGTAGTGAGCTGGCATTTATTGGGCACTTCCTGCCAGCCAGATCCAGCCCACAGCTCCACTCTCTGAACTCAATGAACCCCGGGAACCAGGAGTAATTTGATCCACAGACAGCGGACCTGTGTAACCTGCAGGCAGCTCTCCAGGCTCAAAAATATAGCCATGAGAAGGCCTCCGGGCCTGCCTGCAGACCAGGGCAAAAGGTCTAAAACAACAAATCCTGCAGGAAAACTGAAGATGGAGAAAAAAATTAGCCAATGCTGCAGGATTTGGCCTGGGAGAGGGGGCAGACGGGAAAATTCAGGTTTCCTAGCATTTCTAGTAAGAAATGAGCACGTATGGGAAGTATTTGGAGGAGGCTACTAAAGGTTAACAAGAAAAAGGGAGGGAGACCTGAGGAACTGGGCACTGAGGCCCTGAATGAGGAAGGCACCAGAGAAAGAGGGAACCCAGGGCGAGAGAGGGCGAGAGAGAGAGAGAGAGAGAGAGAGAGAGAGAGAGAGAGCGAGAGAAAGAAAGAAACAGACAAGCGGTGACACCCGGGGGTCCAAAAGTGCCTCCTCCCCGTGCCCACTCAGGCCCACCCGCAATGAGGCTGGGGAGTGGGCGCCCGAGCCCCTCCGCCCGACACTGCGGGCGCCTGGCCGCATCCGCGCGCGCTCCGCGAGGCCGGGGTGGCGGGCTGGCCAGGAGCGGCCCGGCCGGGTGGTCCCCGCGGCTCCTTACCGGCTCTTGTGCAGACTCGACATGGTGTTGACTTCCGGATCCCCCCGGCCGCCTCCGCCGCCCCCGGGACGCGGGGCGCTCCGCACAGGCCTCCGACCGGAAACGCGCCGCCCGCGTGCGTGTTCCGCGCCGCTCCGCCCCCCCCCCACACGTGCCGCCCCTTTCCCCTAGGCCACGCCCCTTCCATAGACCCCGCCCTTCGCCAGGCCACGCCCCGCCCTGCCAGCCCATGGATCCCGCGGCCAAGTGTGGGGTCGCTGAGCGGGTGCCATAAGGTTCTTCCTGGCGCTTCCCTGGGCCTCCGGTTCCATCTACGAAATATACCCGTCGCCGCCTCCTTGTCACCCGCAATTAGCTCTCGTGTCCCTGTTCCAGGAATGTACTCCCCCCGCCACGCTACACAGGAATCTTCCCTGCCAGATCTTCACCCCGAGAGCAGATATTGGATGGAAAACAGGACTACAAGCCAGTGTTTCGGTGACTTTGGGATTTCATGAAGACAAAATGTGCTATAAAAGAACAATAGAGCCCCAGCCGGTGTAGTTCAGTGGATAGAGCATCAGCCTGAGGACACCCTCACCCCTTCGATTCAGGTCAAGGGCGCGTGCCCAGGTTGCGGGCTCGATCCCCAGGAGAGGGCGTGCAGGAGGCAGCCCATCAATGATTCTCTCTCATCACTAATGTTTCTAACACTCTCCCCCTCTCCCTTCCTCTCTGAAATCAATATATATATATATATATATATATATATATATATATATATATATATATATAGCTGAAACCGGTTTGGCTCAGTGGATAGAGCGTCGGCCTGCGGACTGGAAGGTCCTGGGTTCGATTCTGGTCAAGGACATGTACCTTGGTTGCGGGCACATCTCCAGTAGGGGGTGTGCAGGAGGCAGCTGATGGATGATTCTCTCTCATCAATATTTCTAACTCTCTATCCCCCTCTCTTCCTCTCTGTAAAAAATCAATAAAATATATATATTAAAAATAAATAAATATGAAATCTTACCAACATGGATATAATGGAATTTTTTTATAAAAAGAATTAATTGTACATAAAGGGAAACCCACGCTGTGTACTTACCTTTATCCGCCTCCTCTCACTCAGCATAATTATTTTGAGATCCGTTGTAATGGATCATTTCTTTGTGTTGCTGTGCAGATCCCATCGTCTGGAGGGAACATAGTGTGTCCTTTGCACACTTGAATTGTCTCCAGTTTGGGGCTATTACAATAAAGCTGCAGTGAATATTTGTGCACAAGTCTTTACGTGGACACATGCTTTCATTTCTCTTGGAGTGAAATGGCTGGATGTATTTAAATTTTTTAGAAAATATCTAGGTAAACCATTTTCTAAAATGTGTCTATCCCTTTATACCCATACTGGAAGTGTATGAGAGTTTCTGTTGTAATATATCTTCATCAACACTTAGTATGGTCAGCCTTTTTAAAAAAATATATTTTATTGACATTTTACAGAGAATAAAGGAGAGTGATAGCTAGAAACATTGATGAGAGAGAAACATCCATCAACTGTCTCTTGCACACCCCTTACTGGGGATGTGCCTGCAACCCAGGTACATGCCCTTGACTGGAATCGAACCTGGGACCTTTCAGTCCAAAGGCCGACACTCTATCCACTGAGCCAAACCGGTTTCGGCTATGTTTAACTTTTTAATGAGGAATTGCCAAGCCGCTTAAAGCCACTGCACCATTTCGCATTCCCAGAGCAATGCAGGGGTGTTGTTCTGCTTCCTTGATAAGACTTGTCATCGTCTATCTCTTCGATCATATCCGCCCTGAGGACATGAAGCTGGAGCTCCCTGTGGTTGTGGTTTGCATTTCCCTGATGACCAATGATGCTGAGTATCTTTTCCTGTGCATCTTGGCCACGTGCATATCATCTTTGGAGAAATGTCAGTCTTTTGCTATTTCACATTGGGTTATCTGTCTTTTAATTGTTTAGTTGCTTAGGTATCCTGGGTTACTATTTCTATCAGATATACGATTTTCCAATAGTGTCTCCTATTCTGTGGGTTATATCCCCCCCTTTTTTCATCTTCATTGTTGAAAGTATTACTGAAGCTATGTCCCCTTTTGCCCCCATTCACCCCTTCTAGCCCGCACCCACCTGCCACCCAGGTTGTCTTTTCACTTTCTTTTTTTTTAATATATATTTTATTGATTTTTTAATATATATTTTATTGATTCTTTACAGAGAGGAAGGGAGAGGGAGAGCTAGAAACATCGATCAGCAACCTCCTGCACATGTCCCACAGGGGATGTGCCCGCAACCAAGGTACATGCCCTTGACCGGAATTGAACCTGGGACCCTTCAGTCCACAGGCCGTCGCTCTAGCCACTGAGCCAAACTGGTTAGGACGGTCTTTTCACTTTCTTGATGGTGCCCTCCGAAGCAAAAAAGTTAATTTGATGAAATCCAATTTGTCTGTATTTTTTTGTTGTGCTTGGTATCATATTAAAGAAAGCACTGCCTAACCCAAGTCCCAAAGACTTACTCCAATGTAAGGTACTAAGAGTTTTATAGTTTTAATGCTTACATTCATATGCATTTTTTAAAATTAAATTCATTGGAGTAACTTTAGTCAACATGAACATATAGGTTTCAGGTGTGAGTTTCTAGTCTGCACATTGTTAAAGGATGAAGGGGACACTTGCCAAATTGTTCCCCACGGGTCACCTCGGGTCCGGTTAGGGTTTCATGGGAATTTTCATTTTCTCAGCCATATAATTCTGTATCGTGTGTATTTTTATTTTTATTTTTTACAAGCATGGCTAACTGTGGTAATTTAAAATCAACAGACTTGCCAAAACTGGTTTGGCTCAGTGGAAAGAGCATTGGCCTGCGGACTGAAGGATCTCAGGTTCGATTCCAGTCAAGGACATATACCTTGGTTGCAGGCACATCCCCAGTGGGGGGTGTGCAGGAGTCAGCTGATCGATGTTTCTCTATCATCGATATTTCTAACTATCTATCCATCTCCCTTCCTCTCTGTAAAAAATAAATAAAATATATTTTAAAAATAAAATCAACAGACTTTTAAAAATATTCAAAATTATACAGTTAGCTCAACTGTTGTGGCTTGGTGAACGTTGACTTATGAACCAGGGGTCACGGTTCATTTCTCGTCAGGGCATACGCCCAGGTTTCAGGCTCAATCCCAGTGTGGGGTGTGCAGGAGGCAGTTGATCAATAATTCTCTCTCATTATTGATGTTTCTACTTCTCTCTCCCTCTCCCTTCCTCTCTGAAATCAATAAAAATATATTCTTTAAATTCACAAAGTTAGTTATTAGAATTGGGATGAAGATCATGTGGAGATAAAATTCCTTGCCCTAGCCGGTTTAGTTCAGTGGATAAAGTGTCAGCCTGTGGACTGAAGGGTCTTGGATTCAATTCTGGTCAAGGGGACATACCTTAGTTTCAGGCTTCATCCCCAGTAGGGCAGCCAACCAATGATTGTCTGTCATCATTGATGTTTCTCTCTCTCTCCCTCTCTGAGGAATTGCCAAGCCCCTTAAAGCCACTGCACCATTAGGTATATATACAAGAGACCCAATGCATGAAATTCACAGCCCCTGACGGGAAGGTTGTTCGGCTGTCTGGTCTAATTAGCATATTATGCTTTTATTATGATAGATTATTATATATTTTTTTACAAAATATTTTATTGATTTTGTGCAGAGAGAAAGGGAGAGGGATAGAGAGTTCGAAACATCAATGAGAGAGAAACATTGATCAGCTGCCTCCTGCACACTCCCTACTGGGGATGTGCCCACAACCACGGTACATGCCCTTGACCGGAATCGAACCTGGGACCCTTCAGTCCGCAGGCCTAGGCTCTATCCACTAAGCCAAACCGATTAGGGCTATTATAGATATATTTAAAGAGATAGCAGCATCTAAACTGAGACCAAAAGGTGGAGGAGTATGCTGGCTATAGATAGGAGCAAGAAAAGTGTTTAGTTGGGGAGATATTGTTTGCGCCTATGCGAGAGAAGGGTTCATTTAAAATAATAATAACAATGCTTTAAACTCTCTGGATTGAAGAATGGAAAGGAGCAAAAATAAGAGGAAGGAACAAGAGGCTGGAGAGAGACAGGGGACATTTGTCCTTTGTCATCTATGAAAAGGGGTGTAAGCGAGGGAGCACCCCTGATCAGGTTTACGTTTTGGAAAAGTCATCCTGGGACTGGGGAGAGACAGAACAGAAGAGGCAGGGGTTCCAAGAGGAGCCTGTTGCAGGAGCCCAGAGAGGAGATGATGGTGGACAAAGCCCGGCTCTCCTGGGTGAGGAGAGAGGGCCTGGGTTTGGGAGATCCTTAGCCCTTGGAGACTGAGCCGGGAGCTGAGGGCAACTCCCCATCTCCCCCGAGACAGCCGGGCTCCCGGCGGCCCAGGAACCAGCTGGGGAGGCGGCGGGCGCCGGGAGGAAGATGACGGCGCCGGGAGGAGTGGGCGCGCTCCCGGGGGAAGCAGAGATGCTCCGTGGGGCGCTGCGCGTGGGCAGGGCGGGCGCTCCGGGGCCGCCGGCGCCGACGGGGAAGGAGGAGCCAGGACTGCCCCGAACCGCCGCTGGGCGCTGCCGGCTGAGCCGCAGGACGGATCGGGGCGAACCCCGACCTCCCGAGCGGGCCCCCCACTGCCCCAGAGGCACGTGCTCAGCCCCGGGGTGGGGACGCCCATCGGACCCCTCCTGCCCCGGCCCACGGGCCCGGGATCCCCGAGGGGAGCCCCGGAACCTTCCGCCGCCGCCGTCCACGTTCGCCGCGGGACCCTTCGCGAACGCCGGTCCGCGGTTGCTAAGGGGCGGCCCCGGAAGTGACGCGCCAGGGGTTTGTTGACAGCGGAGGCGGCGGCGGCTGCAGGCTCCCAGCCGTAGGAGCCGGATCGGGGGAGGGGCCGGGCCCCGGAGCCTGCACCCGGCGGCCTGCAGCCCTCAGGGCAAGGTAACGGCCACGGGGTCCCCCGGGCGCGACCCCCTCCCGCCGGGGAC